CGGGTTCCGGTTCCGGTGCTTCCGGTTCCGGTGGGTGCGCACGCATGACGATGACGTCACCTCCGGGCCAAGATGGCGGACGCGGTTCAAGATGGCGTTCCATCCGGTGGGATCGCGTGAGATCTCGCGAGATCTCGTGGAGTCTCGCGGTATCTCTCGAGCGTAGACGCCTTTCAAGATGGCGGAACGGACGAGCGGCGGACGGGACGGGACGGAGAGGGAAGGGAAGGGAAGGAGAGGAAAGGAGAGGGAAGGAGGGAGGGAGGGAGGGAAGGAGAGTGGCGTAGACGATGGCGTGCGTGCGGTGACGATGATGTAGTTCTAAAGTCTGTTTATTGTGGTACCAGCCTCAAATATACCTATATTGACCGGTTGACGCATGGATGCAAGTGTGTAGTGAAGCGAATGCTGGGCATTCACCCATGCCAATGTATGACCCAGCTGTGGTCCCTGTGAGTGAGGTACACACCACAAAACGGTCCTTTTCAGGGCCACCCATCTCTCAAAGAATGGTACATTCAATGCAAAAACAACAATAATAACAACAATAGGCTGGCATTTTTCAAACGTTTATTTCCCCGCTAACAAGACCAATTTGACAAAAGATGCAGGATTAGGGGTGTCCCTGATCTTTGTTTACAAACGGTATGAAATGTAACATCATAATTGTAACATATCACAATATATTCACCTAATGATCTTAGCAACGTTGTGATTTCATTGTATCTACTATTAAATGGTTCAAGTGGCTGTAAAGTTTGCAACACAATGCCCAGTAACAGCAGTACGTACTCACACATGTTGTTTTCATTCAATGGGCTTTCCTGTCCACCATACTCTTGATCCATTTGTTCTGGGGAATTGTTTACACTCCTTCGTAACCCCGTGTCACGATCGTGACTATCACTAAGGCGATCCCGAGATTTAACTGTGAAGAGTGGGCATAAGACCATTCTTTTGAAAGTGACGGTCCCATGGCAAATGGCTACCGCTGTTGTGTTTACGTTAGACATTGCATAACTGTGACGTCATCGATGACTTCACAGCTCATGTGGAATTCCTAGAACTGGGTATTTTCCGAGAACTGCTCATTCTCATTTCTTTAACATAGGAGCCCTGCGTTGCCATTCTGGGCGATAGCATTAAAGTCATCGAAGGTTTTTTCCAGTTTCATCAGTATACCATCCTGGGCACTGGATATACGTCCTTTTGGCTGCCTCCACATAACTCAGTCACGTTTTTTAAATAGGCTCGGTAGGGTAGGTTCCCATAGAGGGAGTCATTTCCAACTGATTGTGTCCCGAAGGCACACACACCTCTCGTAAGAGGGAATGCATCATGTCGCTTCACCGTGAACATGAGTGGCTCAATGTCATCACGAAAGTCGCATCCGTGCCATCTGTATTCTTGATTTAAGCCAGATGCGGAGCTAATACTGACTAAAATCTATGTAAGCACTGACAGGGTTAGCAATGTTAACTTGAGGGATCCTTGACGTAAGATAGCGCAGGTCTTCCTGTTCACGCCAATGGTACAACAGAATATCATGCCACATTTCAGTGTATCTATTGTGCTACATTATTGAAGGACACTCACACCAGGCGTTTGAGTGAGTGGGTGAGTGAGTTTAGTTTTACACCACGCTCAGCAATATACCAGCTATATGGTGGCAGTCTGTAAATAATCGAGTCTGACCAGACAATCCAGTGATCAACAGGCATGAGCATCCATCTACACAAACTGGGATACGATGGAATGTGTCAATCAATTCAGCGAGTCTGATCACCCGATCCCGTAAGTCGCCTCTTACGACAAGCATGGGTTGCTGGAAGACTAATACTAACTCGGATCTTCATGGGAATCAGGCGTTTGGAAGCAAGTGCCTTGTGAAAACAAAGATGATCATCTATGCCTGTCAGTATTTAACGCATCTGTTTTCACTCCCACTGTGAGTCAATCTCACCCAGCGGTCCTTTTCAGGACCACACATCTCTCAAAAGAATGTTGCGACCAATGCAAACAATAGGTCAATCGTTTTATATCATTCGACAAAAGATGCAGGAAGTAACACAGACATCGATGTAGGCATTCATAGGGTTAGCAATGTTAAATTGGAGGGGGACCCGCGAACGAAGGGGGTGCCAGAGGACTGTAATGAATCCACTGACCTTCTTGGGCCAAAGTCATCACAGGAGAGACAGGAAAGAGATCCTTTTGTGCCTTGGAACATTCGCAGGCATCCTGGCGCATCATCTTGACAACTGATCTGCACAACAGGTTTGCACAACAGGTCTTGACCGTTCGGTGTCTGGTGTTGAACTGAACCCCTCTTTCATCTGGACGGCCCTTTATGCTGCCTGATCAGGGACATCTCGACCCCAACAACTACAGGTGGTTGGTGGTGTACCGTGTACAAAGCACGTTGTTCTTCCCTTGCATTCTCCTTCTCCTTTGGCCACCAGTTGTCTGTAGTTGTCATTGATTTCTTCCTCAGGACAAAACAGGCACAAGTATTCACAAGGGACTCTGGCATGCTTCAGGTGTTCTCGCCAGGGTTGGTCTGTGGCTTCCCATCGATGAATTTTCAGGCCGAACAATAACAGATCACACTATCACCTCGTCCATGATAGAAATAGCCAGCCATGGCCAAGTCATAAGGACACTGGGCCATCTGTATAGGCCATGTTCGAAACGACCTCACACGTTGATAAAACTTGGCATACTCGGGGTGAGTAGGATTCTTCAAGCTGTATCCAGGTTGTGTCCACGAGGATGACAGAGGAGAAGGAATATCCCCAGATGGTCTCCATGGGGATATGTCCACATACAACTTCTTGTGCCTGATCTTTTGAGACACCCATTCCGTATCGGGGACATCGAATGCACTCATGCTGATACGTCTGCACTGTCCGACGACTTGAAGCCAAATGACGCCTTCTCTTAAAACAATGCTTTATGTTTCTTGGTGAATCCCACTGCCTGTTTCCGTTTTCTTTCTGCGCTCGTGATCCTGGTGGGTGTTGTCACAAGGTGACGAGTAAGACTTGTTTCCCATGATGTTACGAACTGTTCCCCACACTTCGTTGTCCAGAACTGATATCTTGCACTAATCCCGGCAGCATCTTGACGCCTGCTTTGAGAGCTGATTTTCCCACCATCTTGAGGATGGAAAGTGCTGAACGTCCCATGTGGGTCTTGACCCAGCTTTGACATCCTGCTGCTGCCTGCCACAAGGCAAGCCACCCTCCATAGCCTGCAGGATGTTTAGGATCGTAGCAGGTGTGGTGGAGCCATGCAGGAGACATAGACGACGACTCTCTGTTGTTGTTTCTCTTTGGACGTCTCATGTTGACACTGTCGTTGACATCTAAAAGTAAATCCACTGACGAACCCGGTTGAGAGGGAGGAGGGGTCTCTGCTGTTGTGGGTGTCGTTGCTGCCTTCTTCTTCTTTTGGCTTCCAGAGGAAGGTTGGATGGGCTGGTGTCAAAACAAGTCAGCTGGGGAGTGTTGACGCTTCACGGGGTGTCAGGGGCTGGGTGAATGACCCTTTGATTTTCATCATCCAGGACCAACGTAGAGGGTTGACAATCAGTTCATGGGGTACGTTGCTGGAAGCAAGATACTGACCCAGAATATTCCAACCCCGTGGAGGGTCTGATTTGGTACGTTGTCGAACAAGATCATTGATGAGATCCACCATGTGCGTCCCAGGCATGGGTTCCCCTTCCACCACGAATTGACCCGTCTCATTCCAACCCAAGTCGGGATGAGCACGAATACGTGCCATCAACTGCCTGGCCTTGGCTTGTAGCGTTTTGGGAACCGTTTGCACGACTTCATTCAGAATGGCTTCGACATCGGGTTCTGAAACAACGAACAAAAAACCATGAGCCACTGCTCTACCATGTGCTTCGCGGACTCCTTCTTAGGAAGGCGACCTCTACGCCACTGGAACAAGCGTGTGACTCAGTAAGTCAACCCTACTTACGGTGAGCTAGGGGAGTTCCATCCCTGGGTACCACGTCCCTGGGTGTCTCGTCCCTGGTTCCAACCCTGGGAGTGCCAGTCCTTGGGGTTCCAGTTGCCTCTAAAGGTCGTGGTTTGACCGCTGCTTGGTCTTGAAACGCCAAGGTGTGTTGCAACAAGGTGTTATACTGCTGCTCTCTGTCCCTAAAAGGAACCGTGTCATCACGGACGAGGGTATCTATATCGTGAAGCGTGTGCACACGTTTCTGTTCGAACAGGTTGGACTTGAACCAATGCCGTTGACGTTGTTCTTCATGCAGACTTTGCCATACCTCTTCTGGGACCATCAGCATCTTCCGTGCATGCTTCAACGCTGACGAAGGAGCAGGGTCAGGAGGAGGAGGAAGATGTGATAGATCCGACTTGGGAAGAGTAGGTTTGACTTCAGTCATTCTGTTCTTCATTTTCAACCAGGGTTTCTTTCCATCAGAATTCATCTTGTGTACTTGTGATAAATGATTGGATAGTTTTGAAAGTTGTTTTGCAGTACAGTCAGGCACAGGGCAATCTTTCTTGACACGACCCATGTTTTGGCACCTCAGCGGTTCCAGCTCAACTGATCAAACAACTTAGAAGTGCACTTTTATAACCGAGGGGCACGTAGGGGAACAGAGGGACACACGAGGAACACTCGAGGGGCACTCAAGGGACACTGGAGGGACACTGGAGGGACACTTGAGGAACACATGAGGGACACTGTGAGGGACACATGAGGGAC